CCTGAATTGATGATTTTAAGGAAATTTTGCAGTTTTCGGTTATTATCTTGAATATTATTAATGATAAAGATAAACTGTAAACAGCAAAAATGTTCAGTGAAGTAAGATCTACAAATAAGTTTAAAGACCAAAATTGTCAATTGTCCTCTTAAGGAGTTATTGCCCTTTGAAGACAACTTTTCACAATTTGTTCATCTAGTTTGCTAACTTTAAAAAAATCTCATTTGAAACTGCTGAATCAATTTCAGACAAACTTGGGTGAATGAGTTTCAGAGTATCTAGTAAAAATTTTGTATTTTATTTCCTTGAACGTCAAGAAAAATAGCCACTATGGCTAAAATGGAACATAGGGGTTAAATGATTTTTTGTTGCTTTTAAGATGCTAAGAACATTTAAATGGCATTTTTAAGCCACACATTAATATATATTGAAAAGCAAAAATAATCATTGATGAAAGTTTTGAAGTCAAAATTTACAGGTGAGCAATTCAGGCTCTAGAGAGCCTCTTGTCTTAATGCATTCAGATATTGGGTTCCGTTCTGCTAATTTTTGCTGAAATTCAGGACTTTGGATTTTGATAAATGGTTGAAAATGAGTTATCCTGATTTTTTGTCGAGCCTGCGACTTTTGTCGCAGAAAGCTCGACATAGGGATAGTGATCCGACGGCGGCGGTGTTAGCTAACTTCTTAAAAGCTTTATATTTTAGAAGGTAGAAGATCTGGATACTTCATACTTTGTATATGGATGCCTCATGTTACGAAGTTTCCGTCCGTCACATGTCCAATGTCCTTGACCTCATTTTCATGGTTCAGTGACTACTTGAAAAAAAAGTTCAGATTTTTTGTAATGTTAAATTCTCTCTTATAAGTAATAGGATAACTATATTTGGTATGTGCGTACCTTGCAAGGTCCTCATGCCCGTCAGACAGTTTTCACTTGACCTCGACCTCATTTCATGGATCAGTGAACAAGGTTAAGTTTTGGTGGTCAAGTCCATATCTTAGATACTATAAGCAATAGGTCTAGTATATTCGGTGTATGGAAGGACTGTAAGGTGTACATGTCCAACTGGCAGGTGTCATCTGACCTTGACCTCATTTTCATGGTTCAGTGGTTATAGTTAAGTTTTTGTGTTTTGGTCTGTTTTTCTTATACTGTATGCAATAGGTCTACTATATTTGGTGTATGGAATGATTGTAAGGTGTACATGTCCAACTGGCAGGTGTCATCTGACCTTGACCTCATTTTCATGGTTCAGTGGTTATAGTTAAGTTTTTGTGTTTTGGTCTGTTTTTCTTATACTGTATGCAATAGGTCTACTATATTTAGTGTATGGAATGATTGTAAGGTGTACATGTCTAGCTGGCAGGTGTCATCTGACCTTGACCTCATTTTCATGGTTCAGTGGTCAAAGTTAAGTTTTTGAGTTTTGGTCTTTTTTTCTAATACTATATATGCAATAGTTCAACTATATTTGGTGTATGGAAATATTTTATGATGTATATGTCAGTCACGCAGGTTTTATTTGACCTTGACCTCATTTTCAAGGTTCATTGCTCAGTGTTAAGTTTTTGTGTCTTGGTCTGTTTTTCTTAAACTATAAGCAATAGGTCAACTATATTTGTTGTATGGAAGATTTGTTAGCTATACATGCCTGCCTTGCATGGTTTATCTGACCATGACCTCATTTTCATGGTTCATTGGTCAATGTTTAGTTTACTTGGTTAATGTTAAGTTTATGTGGCAGTTGTAATAAAGCTTTATATTTAGGACTATCAACATAATATCAATGATTAGTAAAGAAGGCGAGACATTTCAGCGTGTGCACTCTTGTTTCTAAATACCTTCAGATATTGGACTGATTTTAACCATGAAGTGTTACAGATCAAGTTTAAGTTTCGTTCCGATCTGCTGATTTTTGCTGAAATAACGGGTTTTGGACTTTGAAAATTTTTGAAAATCAGTTATACAGATTTTTTTTTTTGTATGTATGCCTCCAGATATTAAGCTGATTTTGACTTTTTTTCAATAAGCCTTCAGATTTTGCGCTGATTTTACATGAGTCTACAATGATAAGTTACAGATCAAGTTTTTGTTTCGTTTCGATATGCTGATTTTTATGTCAGTTTCAACACAACTCATTGATCAAGGAAATTTTTTACCAAACTAGTATTGGTTTTGAGAACTGGATACTATTCATGCATTTTTGTGTCCACATATGTTGCTGAAATTAGAATTGTGGATGGTACATGTGTTTGTTGAAAAGTGAATAAATAATGAATTGATAATAATTTGTCGTGGGGGGGGGAGGAATTTACACGACATACATATGTACTGTATATAAATAAATGTATTTCAGCTTTAAAAACCACGTTTTTTGCCAGTTTTTAGCTCACCTGGCCCAAAGGGCCAGGTGAGCTTTTCTCATCACTTGGCGTCCGTCGTCGTCCGTCGTCCGTTAACTTTTACAAAAATCTTCTCCTCTGAAACTACTTGGCCACAATCATCATTGGGGTATCTAGTTTAAAAAATGTGTCCGGTGACCTGGCCAACCAACCAAGATGGCCGCCATGGCTAAAAATAGAACATAGGGGTAAAATGTAGATTTTGGCTTATATCTCTGAAACCAAATCATTTAGAGCACATCTGACATGGGGTAAAATTGTTAATCTGGTCAAAATCTATCTGCCCTGAAATTTTCAGATGAATCGGACAACCCGTTGCTGCCCCTGAATTGGAAATTTTAAGGAAATTTTGCCGTTTTTGGTTATTATCTTGAATATTATTATAAATAGAGATAAACTGTAAACAGCAATAATGTTCAGCAAAGTAAGATCTACAAATAAGTCAAACATACTACCAAAATTGTCAATTGACCCCTTAAGGAGTTATTGCCCTTTATAGTCAATTTTTAACCATTTTTCGTAAATTTTTGTAATCTTTTACAAAAATCTTCTCTCTTCTGAAACTACTAAGACAAATTTAACCAAACTTGTCCACAATCATCATTAGGGTATCTAGTTTAAAAAATGTGTCCGATGACCCTGCCTGCAAACCAAGATGCCGAAATGGCTAAAAAATAGTACATAGGGTAAAATGCAGTTTTTGGCTCATATCTCTGAAACCAAAGCATTTAGAGCAAATCTGACGAGGATAAAATGATCATTAGGTCAAGATCTACCTGCCCTGAAATTTTCAGACCAATCAAGCAACATGTTGTTGGGTTGCTGCCCCTAAATTGGTAATTTTAAGAAAATTTTGCAGCTTTTGGTTATTATCTTGAATATTATTATAGATAGAGATAAACTGTAAACAGCAATAATGTACAGCAAAGTAAGATCTACAAATAAGTCAACATGACCAAAATTGTCAATTGACCCCTCAAGAAGTTATTGCCTTATTACAAAATATTTTCCACTGTAACTAATGGGCCAAGTTCATTATAGATAGAGATAATTGTAAGCAGCAAGAATGTTCAGTAAAGTAAGATCTACAAACACATCACCATCACCAAAACACAATTTTGTCATGAATCCATCTGTGTCCTTTGTTTAATATGCACATAGACCAAGGTGAGCGACACAGGCTCTTTGGAGCCTCTAGTTTATATCCATATGGAGGACACAATTTCATGCACCAATAAAACTAAGAAAACCTCAATTTGTCTTATGGTCATCATTTGTTACTTTTTGTCAAGCCTGTAACTTCTGTCACAGAAAGCTCGACATAGGGATAGTGATGTGGCGGCAGCAGCGTTAGCTAACTTCTTAAAAGCGTAATATTTCAGAAGGTAGAAGACCTGGATCCTTCATACTTTGTGCATAGATGCCTTATGTTAAGAAGTTTCCTTCTGTCCTATGTCCATTGTCCTTGACCTCAATTTGAATTGTTCAGTGACTACTTGAAAAAAATGTTATGATTTTTATTATTCTTAATTTCTCTCTTATGAGTAATAGGATAAATATATTGGTATGTGCGTACCTTGAAAGGTCCTCATGCCCATCATACAGTTTTCACTTGACAGCAACCTTATTTCATGGATCAGTGAACAAGGTTAAGTTTTCATGGTCAAGTCCATATCTGAGATACTATAAGCAATAGGTCTACTATACATGTATTTGGTGTATGGAATGATTGTAAGGTGTTATCTGACCTTGACCTCATTTTCATGGTTCAGTGGTTAAAGTTAAGTTTTTGTGTTCTGGTCTGTTTTATTATTACTGAACATGCTGAATGCAATAGGTCAACTATATTTGGTATATGAAAATATTTTACGATGTACATGTCAGTCTGGCATGTTTTATTTGACCTCATTTTCACGGTTCATTGCTCAATGTTAAGTTTTTGTTTATTGGTCTTTTTTTCTAATACTTTAAGCAATAGGTCAACTATAATTGGTGTGTGGAATGATTGTAAGCTGTATATATCTGTCTGGCAATTATCATCTGACCATGACCTCATTTTCATGGTTCATTGGTCAATCTTAAGTTTTCCTGGTTAAGTTTATTTCTGAGATACTATATGCAATAGGTCATCTATATTTAAGGCATGTAATGATTGTGAGGTGTACATGTCTGTCTGGCAGGGTTCATCTGATCTAGACCTCATTTTCATGGTTCATTGATCATGGTTAAGTTTTCCTGGTTAAGTTTGTTTATGTGAAGTGCATTAGGTCAAATATATTAAAAGCAAGATTTACATGTATTTCTAGTTTGGTTTATCTGACCTTGACCTCACATTCTTGGATCATGTTTGTTTGTTTTTCCTGAAACAACAGATTGAAGCTTTATAACAAATTGGTCTAAAAATTTTTTCATTCAAATTTATACTCTAATGCTGAATATTTTAATGAGAATGTATAGTAATTGTAATTATATACTTTTCTCTTAATTTGGGATTTAACATAAAACATGCATCACATTTTTTTCTGAATTGATTGCAACAGCAAAAAGTCTGGATTTAAAGCAGAAACTAATTTATAATTTTTGTTTTGTTACAGATTATACAGCCTAAATATGTAACACTCCTATAACATGACAGATGCTTTCATTGTAGATAGCACATTAGGATGTTGCACATGTAGGTATTTGGTCATTACAATTGTTCTTAAAACTATGTTTATGTTTGTTAGGTAATAAAAATCCGTTTTTTCCTGAACAGTTTGACAAAAAGATGCTTTATGTTGAAATGGGTCTCGTAAAAGCAGACCTCTGCAGAGAGCAAACTTTAGATTTTGATATAACATTGATGAATTTAATGGGCGCTAATCTCGTAAAAGCAGATCCCCAAGCAGAGCTGATTACATAGTATGATAACTTGTGTTTATGGTAAATGTATTTAGTTTTTTGTCTGGCTCTATTTCATTATCAACCAGTTTGAAACTTTTTAACAAATTGGTCTCAAAAAAAATTTCTTCAAATTTATACTCTAATGAAATATATTCTTAATGGAATGTATAGTAGTTATAAATATTCTTGTCCAACATGCAAAAGATTAAATTCTGAAAAAATTGCAACAGCAAATAGTCTGTATTTAAAGCTGATATTAATTTATAGTTTTTGTTAAAGATACATCTAAATATGTTGCACTCCTAGACAGAGAAGATGGATTCATGGCAGATAGGAAGAGTCAACATGTAAGTATTTGGTCATTACAATTGTACTTAAAACTATGTTAATATTTGGAAGTCAATAAAAATCTGTTTTCACTGAAACAATAGCTTAAAATTTTATTACAGATTGGTCTAAAATATCTTTTATTCGAATTTCAAATGTGGTATATTTTAATAAGAATGAAAGAGTAATTGTAAATTAATTGTCTGTAATTTAAGATTTGACATAAAACATGAATCACATTAATTTTTTAATTCTTTTAACAGCCATTAAATATTCTCTATCTAAAGCTGATGCTAATTTAAATTTTTTCTTTTGTAACAGATACAGCCCAGATATGTTCCACTCCTACCCAATGAATATGGTTTCATGGTAGATGCACATTAGGATGTTTAACATGTAGGTAGTCATTACAATTGTACTTTAGACTATGTTTATATGTGTTGGGTAATAAATATCAGTTTTCACTGGAACAACAGCTTAAATAAAATTTTATTTCAAATTAGTGTACATATTTCTTTTGTTCAAATTTATAATCTAGTGAAGTAAATTTTAACATGAATGCATAGTAATTTTAAATATTCTTGTGTCCAATTTAGGATTTGACATCAAATATGAGTGACATTTATTTTATAATTGTTGCAACAGCCAATAGTCTCTATTTGAAGCTGATACTAATTGATGATTTGGTTTTGTTATAGATACAGCCTAAATATGTTACACTCCTAGACAATGAAGATGGTTTCATGGTAGATTGATCACACATCTGGATACGTAGCATGTAGGTATTTGGTATTTTTAATTGTACTTTAAACTATGTTTATATGGTTTGCAGGTAACAAAAATAAGTTTTCCCTGGAAGCTTAAATTAGATTTGATTACAGATTGATTTAAAATTTCTTCAATTCAAATTTATACTCTTATGAAGATTATTTTAATGATAATGTATAGAAATTGTTTATATACTTGTCTTCAAATTAAGATTTTTCATCAAAAATGCATCATATTAATTTTGAATTAATTGCAACAACCAATATTCTCTATTTAAAGCTGATACTGATTTAGAGTTTTTGTTTTTGTTACAGATACAGACTAGATATGTTACCCTCCTAGACAATGAAGATGCTTTCATGGTATACAGCACAGGAAGATTTGTATCATGTAGGTATTTGGTCATTATAATTGTACTTTTAACTCTTTTTATATGTGTTGGGTAACAAAAATCAGTTTTCCCGTTGAACAACAGTTTGAAATTTTATTACAAATTTGTCGAACATTTCTTTTATTCAAATATTTACTGTAATAAGTTAAGTAATTGTAAATATTCTAGTCTCCAATTTAGGATTTGACATAATACATGCATCACATTAATTTCTGAATTGATTGCAACATCAAATATTCCCTATTTAAAGCTGATACTAATTTACAATTTTTGTTTTTGTTACAGATAACGCCTAAATATGTTACACTCTTCGACAATGAAAATGGTTTCATTGTAGATAGCACATTAGGATTAGTCACATGTACGTATTTATTCATTACAATTTTTTTATTTAAACTAGGTTTATTAGCTCACCTGCAAGTGAGCTTTTCTCATCACTTGGCGTCCGTCGTCGTCCGTTAACTTTTACAAAAATCTCCTCTGAAACTACTGGGCCAAATTTAACCAAACTTGGCCACAATCATCACTAGGGTATCTAGTTTTAAAAATGTGTCTGATGACCCCGCCTGCCAACCAAGATGGCTGACATGGCTAAAAATAGAACATAGGGGTAAAATGCAGTTTTTGGCTTATATCTCTGAAACTCAAGCATTAAGAGCAAATCTGACTAGAGTAAAAATGTTCATCAGGTTAAGATCTATCTGCCCTGAAATTGTCAGATGAATCAGACAACCCGTTGTTGGGTTGCTGCCCCTGAATTAGTAATTTTAAGGAAATTTTGCAGCTTTTTGTTATCTTGAATATTATTATAGATGAAGATGAACTGTAAACAGCCATTATGTTCAGCAAAGTCAGATCTACAAAGAAGTCAACATGACCAATATGGTCAATTGACCCCATAAGGAGTTATTGCCCTTTAAAGTCAAATTTAACAATTATTCGTAAATTTTTGTATTCTTTTACAAAACTCTTCTCTCCTGAAACAACTGAGACAAATTTAACCAAACTTGGCCACAATCATCACTAGGGTATCTAGTTTAATAAATGTGTCCGATGACCCTGCCTGCCAACCAACATGTCAGACATGGCTAAAAATAGAACTTTGGGGGAAAATGCAGTTTTTGACTTGTATCTCTGAAACTAAAGCAAATGTATAACGGTTGCATTATTTCATGCATCAATTGTAAATAAAAAATATCAGGTGAGCGACACAGGCTCCTTGGAGCCTCTAGTATTTGTTGGGCATTAAAATCAGTTTTCACTGAAACAACAGATTGAAGCTTTATAACAAATTGGTCTAAAATTTCTTTTATTCCTATTTATATTCTTATGGAGTATATTTTAATAAGAATGTATAGTTATTGTAAATATACGTCTCCAAGTTAGGATTTGACATAAAACATGCATCACATTAATTTCTGAATTGATTGCAACAGCAAAAAGCTTTGATTTTGAAGCTGAAACTAATTTAAAATATTTTTTTTTTTTTGTACAGATACTGCCTAAATATGTAAGACTCCTATACCATGAAAGATGCTTCCATTGCAGATAGCACATTAGGATGTTGCACATGTAGGTATTTATTCATAACAATTGTTCTTAAAACTATGTTTATATTTGTTAGGTAATAAAAATCAGTTTTTCCTGGAACAACAGCTTGAAATTTGATTACAAATTGGTCCTACATTACATTTATTGAAATATTCACTGTAATGAGATATATTTTAATAAGAATGTATAGTGATTGTAAAAATTCTTTTTTCCAATTAAGGATTTGACATTACAACATGCATCACATTAATTTCTGAATTGATTGCAACAGCAAATAGTCTGGATTAAAAGCTGAAATTAATGTTTATTTTTTTTGTTTTCATTACAGATACAGCCTAAATATGTAAGACTCCTATACCATGAAAGATGCTTCCATTGCAGATGCACATTAGGATAAGTCACATGTACGTATTTGGTCATTACAATTTTCCTTCAAACTATATTTATATTTGTTAGGTAATAAAAATCAGTTTTTTCCTGAAACAACAGATTGAAGCTTTATAACAAATTGGTCTAAAATTTCTTTCATTCAAATTTATACTCTAATGCTGAATATTTTAATAAGAACGTATAGTAATTGTAATTATATACTTTTCTCTATTTTGGGATTTAACATAAAACATGCATCACATTATTTTCTGAATTGATTGCAACAGCAAAGAGTCTGGATTTAAAGCGTAAACTAATTAATAATTTTTGTTTTTGTTACAGATTATACAGCCTTAATATGTAACACTCCTATACCATGAAAGATGCTTTCACACATTAGGATGTTGCACATGTAGGTATTTGGTCATTACAATTGTTCTTAAAACTATGTTTATGTTTGTTAGGTAATAAAAATCCGTTTTTTCCTGAACAGTTTGACAAAACGATGCTTTATGTTAAAATGGGTCTCGTAAAAGCAGACCTCTGCAGAGAGCAAACTTTAGATTTTGATATAACATTGATGAATTTAATGGGCGCTAATCTCGTAAAAGCAGATCCCCCAGCAGAGCTGATTACATAGTATGATAACTTGTGTTTATGGTAAAATGTATTTAGTTTTTTTGTCTGGCTCTATTTCATTATCAACCAATTTGAAACTTTATTACAAATTGGTCTCAAAAAAATTTCTTCAAATTTATACTCTAATGAAATATATTCTTAATGACTGAGCTGAAGGACGCCTCCGGGTGCGGGAATTTCTCGCTACATTGAAGACCTGTTGGTGACCTTCTGCTGTTGTCTGTTCTATGGTCGGGTTGTTGTCTCTTTGACACATTCCCCATTTCCATTCTCAATTTTATTAATGGAATGTATAGTAATTATAAATATTCTTGTCCAACATGCAAAGATTAAATTCTGAAAAAATTGCAACAGCAAATAGTCTGTATTTAAAGCTGATATTAATTTATAGTTTTTGTTAAAGATACATCTAAATATGTTGCACTCCTAGACAGAGAAGATGGATTCATGGCAGATAGGAAGAGTCAACATGTAAGTATTTGGTCATTACAATTGTACTTAAAACTATGTTAATATTTGGAAGTCAATAAAAATCTGTTTTCACTGAAACAATAGCTTAAAATTTTATTACAGATTGGTCTAAAATATCTTTTATTCGAATTTCAAATGTGGTATATTTTAATAAGAATGAAAGAGTAATTGTAAATTAATTGTCCGTAATTTAAGATTTGACATAAAACATGAATCACATTAATTTTTTTATTTTTTTAACAGCCATTAAATATTCTCTATCTAAAGCTGATGCTAATTTAAATTTTTTCTTATGTAACAGATACAGCCCAGATATGTTCCACTCCTACCCAATGAATATGGTTTCATGGTAGATGTACATTAGGATGTTTAACATGTAGGTAGTCATTACAATTGTACTTTAGACTATGTTTATATGTGTTGGGTAATAAATATCAGTTTTACCTGGAACAACAGCTTAAATAAAATTTTATTTCAAATTAGTGTACATATTTCTTTTGTTCAAATTTATAATCTAGTGAAGTAAATTTTAACATGAATGCGTAGTAATTTTAAATATTCTTGTGTCCAATTTAGGATTTGACATAAAATATGAGTGACATTTATTTTATAATTGTTGCAACAGCCAATAGTCTCTATTTGAAGCTGATACTAATTGATGATTTGGTTTTGTTATAGATACAGCCATAATATGTTACACTCCTAGACAATGAAGATGGTTTCATGGTAGATTGATCACACATCTGGATACGTAGCATGTAGGTATTTGGTATTTTTAATTGTACTTTAAACTATGTTAAAATGGTTTGCAGGTAACAAAAATAAGTTTTC